CCTTGTCTCTCTTGGGTTTTCTCTCAAAACTGGCCAGAAAGATACATTTAAAATATATGTCAAGTCATTTTACTCCTCTGTTGAAAATTTTCCAATAGCTTTCCATCTCTTTTCATAGTATGAACAAAAGTCAAAACGCTTACAATGGCCTACAAAGAACCATGCATTCCAGCCTCCTGTTATCTTTCTGATATGATCTCTTATACTCTTCTCATATTCTCTCCATTCCAACAAGTAGCCTCCTTGCTGTTCCTCAAATCCACCAGCCCTTGACCATCCCAAGGCCTGGCTCCCTCACCTCCTAAAATTTAGCCTCTCAGTAAGATTTTCTCTGGACAGCCTACGTAGAATCACAACCCTCCTTCCTTCCCCCCCTCCACTCTCCTTTTTCCAATCTGCTTTCCCTGCTTTATTTTTCTCTATATGACTCTTCACCATCTGATATACTACATATTTACTTTATATTGAAATGTACACACAGAAAAGTGCATGCAAGTATCCAGCTCAATTAATTTTCACAAACTGAATACAACCATGTAACCAGCACCCAGACCAATGAACAGAATATTACCAACACCTCCAGATACTCCTCATGCTCTCTCTTAGCCACCATTACCCTTTCACACTCCAAGGGTAAGCATTATTCTAATTTCTAACATCATAGACTAATTTTGCCTATTTTTGTACTTCATATAAGTGGACTCATACAGTGACATACTACATATTTTAATGATCTATTTATTTACTGCCTATTTCACCCCACTACTAGCATGTAAGCTCTCTGCAATGACTTGGCTGAATGAAAAACTAAACACAGTCTAAAAACCATGAGAAGTCAGTCAGCTGAAAGTGACTGCAATAGCCATTTGTTGAAAACTAGCAAGCTATGAGGGTGGAAAAATAGGCAGAGCAAGATCTCAAAGGGCTTTATACAAATAAGTCCATGAAGGGAGTTAGAAAGGAAGAAAGGTAAAATGTAGGAGCCTTCTAGGCATTTCCAGGACACCAGGCATTTTTAGGTGCTGACATTTAGGGGGACACAAAACAGGGATTTCTTTGAAGTCAGCTTATTAATAACTTTTTGTAGTGTCTCAGAAAAGAGTCTGTGGCCCCCACTGTAATGGTCAAAGACCTCTAACAATTTCTGAATATGTGGGAAAGGCTTAATAGTCTGAGGAATAGGGGCGCCTGGGTGGCTCAGTTGTTAAATGTCTGCCTTCGGCTCGGGTCATGATCCTGGGTCCTGGGATCGAGCCCTGCATCGGGCTCCCTCCTCGGCAGGAGGCCTGCTTCTCCCTCTCCCTCTCCCACTCCCCCTGCTTGTGTTCCTGCTCTCACTATCTCTCTCTGTCAAATAAATAAAATCTTAAAAAAAAAAAAAATAGTCTGAGGAATAAGTAACTCCCACTTTTTTTCCCCCTTTAAGGGAAAGGACAACTCAAAATAAGACATCTAAATCTCTGAGTCTGTCTAATTATCCTTGTTTTACTGGAATGGAGCAAGGAGACAGCAGCTCTGCTTTCCTAACCTGCTGCCCATGACTTTGAGGAGATGGCACTCCATCTCATGGGGAGGGACAGGCCAGAGATGCTTTGAGTGTCTTTACCTTCCTTGGAGCTCATGCCCTCTATCAGGGATTCTTGAACTCAAGAGTGGGTCAGAACTACCCGGAGGCCCGTTAAAACACAAATTGTTAGGCCTACCCCCAGAGTCTTTGATTCAGTAGGTCTTGGGTGGGGCCTGGAAATCTGCATTTCCAAGAAGCTCCCAGGTGGTGCCAATGTTGCTGGTCTGGGGTGCTGCTTGAGAACCATCACCCTACTCAATGCTATCCTCCTAAACCAGGTGAGGAGGCCCTCCGCATGCTCCTGCTGCACCCAATTTCTCTCCATCATAATTCCCTCATCCTGCAGTGTGCACTCATTTAATCTGTGTCTTCCCCACTAACCTGTCCACAGCACAAAGGGCAGGAACCAGTCTTGTTTATCTTCATGGTGCAGTGCCAATGTCTGGGACCAACAAAGCATTCTACTGATACTTGTTGAATTAATAGATGAATGACTCCAATTGACTTCCCAAAGACACAGAACAATAGGAGAGGAAGGGGCCTCCAAAAAACATGGTTCCAGCTCCCTCTCTTCTACAGATAAGCACAGAAAGCATGAAAGAGTGATAGTTCTTTAGTTTCTTCTTTCTGTTCTTCCAGTGAGGTTTGGATGCTCCATCCCCACCATCTCTGAGCTTCAGCTTCCCCATCAATTAGATATAGGTTTGCCAGATAAAATACAGGACACTCTGTTAAATTTGAATTTTAGATAAATAACAAATAATATTTTGGCCATATGTAGCGATGTTTGTTGTTTATCTAGAATTCAAATTTAACTGGGCATCCTCTATTTTTATTTACTAAATCTGGTAAACCTACTTACATGTGGATAATAATATGACTTACCTCATTTGGTTCCCACAATGATTAAATAAGCAAATATATGTAAAACCCTAGGACAGCAACTGAAACCAAGTAAGAGTTCTATTTAAATATTCGCTATTATGTTTATTGTACCCATAGAACACACACCCGCACGCACACACACACCTGGCTAGAGATTCAACGCCTTTTTTTCATTAAACTACTCTAGTTTTGAAAAACTTTTAAATGATATTTTAAAATCTTGATGTTTTAATTTATGACTATGACATTTTATTATCTCCTCCATAAATACCATGAAAAACAAGTCAGTATCTATTTTATAAATGTCCTTTAAATAATTAAGGCCAAAATAAAATCTCTTAATCTTTTCCTCTTAGGGTAAGGTTCTAATTATTTGATCTTTTACTATATGAATCTTTTTCTCTTCTGTGAAGCCTGTTTAATTCCTCCATTTTGTATTTTTTCTTTAGTTAGGAAAATATATATTTATTATTATAAACTCATAGGAAGGAAAAAATTATTCTTTCTTCTTGCATTATTGTCTGAATTTTCCATAATCAGTACATATGTAAAATAAAATAAACACACTTTTTTTTTTGGAGTTTCCTTTTCTTGTTTTTGTCTTTTTATACTCAATTATGCCTGATAAGCTTATTTAAACAGATTTTCATGATTTTTATGTTAAATTTTGCCCATTATTAGTCAGTGATTTTATGACTCTGGAGCAAAGCATAAAGGACACAATCTATAATCCTACCCTCTTAAAAACAAACATTCTTAATATGTTAGAAGTAGTAAAAATAAAAACAAGAACATTTTTAATGACAATAACACCTAACATTTATTGTTAATGTACTATGTCCAGGAACTATGCTAGGAAATTTAACTTTATTAAATTTTTTAATCCTCACAAGAAATACCATGAAAAAGATACAATTATTATCAATCCTCAATCTTTTCTACTCTGGTTGCTGGATGATTGCTCCACTGAACATTTCTTGCTAAGATCATGAAAGATCTGCAAGCCACTAAGTGAGATAAACATTTTCTGTCTTTATCTAACCTGTCAATACATGTTGCCTTCTCTCCCTCCATGCCTCTGTCCCTCTCTCTTGTCTTCCCTTCTTTCCTCTCTTTCTCTTCCTCATTTTTTTCTCTTCTCTTTCTTCCTTGCAGTAGGATGGGCTTGAGCCATTACACCCTTCAACAATACAACAGTAACAAAATTATACTAAAGTTGACTCCACTTCTCTAGTGTGTCACATAGCAGTCTTTTTTCTCTCCAAGTTCACTTAACCTCAGGGCCTCCACATTTTACTTCACACTTTTAAAAAAGTAAACCTTTAAATAAATGGAAAGGTATCGTATGTTCATGGGTCAAAATCTTAATATTGTAAAGATGGCAATGCTATCCAAATTAATCTACATATTCATTGCTATCCCTATCAAAATCTCACCTTGCTTTTGATCAGAAGTTGATATGCTGGTCATGAAATTCATATGGAAAGGCAAGGTTCTACAGAATAGCCAAAACAACTTTGAAAACAAAGAACAAAGTTACAAACAAACAAAGAAAAAAAAGAGAGAGAGACAAAAAACAAACTCAAATACAGAGAACAAACTGGTGGCTGCCAGAGGGGAGGTGGGTGGGGGGATGGGTAAAAAAATAATAAAAGAACAAAATTGGAGAATTGGCACTTCACATTCTCAAAGCTTATTAAAATGTGATGAAATGAGAACTCAATAACAGAATGAAATTTAGGAAATAAAATGTATGAGGAAATTAAACAACATAATCCTAAATAACCAATAGATCAAAGAAGAAATCTCAAGGAAATTAGAAAGTATTTTGAGAAGAATGAAAATGAAAGCATAACATACCAGAATGTATGGGATGCAGCTAAGTCAGTGCTCAGAGGGATTTACTACTGTAAATGCCCACATTAAAAAAGAAGAAAGAGAGGTACCCGGGTGGTTCAGTCGGTTAAGCATCTGACTCTTGATTTCAGCCCAGGTTGTGATCTCATGGCTGTAGGATCGAGCCCAGCATCTAGCTCTACACTCATCAGGGAGTCTGCTTGAGGGGCGCCTGGGTGGCTCAGTCGTTAAGTGTCTGCTTTCGGCTTGGGTCGTGATCCCAGGGTCCTGGGATCAAGCCCCACATTGGGCTCCCTGCTCTGCGGGAGGCCTGCTATTCCCCTCCCACTCTCCCTGCCTGTGTTCCCTCTCTCACTGTGTCTCTCTCTGTCAAATAAATAAAATCTTTAAAAAAAAAAGGGGGGGGAGTCTGCTTGAGATTCTCTCTCTCTCTCCTTCTCCCTTCTGTCCCTCTCCCTGCTCGAGTTCTCTCTCTCTCTCAAATAAATAAATCTTTAAAAAAATATAAAAATAAAAAAGAGGAAAGATCTTAAATCAATAACCTAACCTTCAACCTTAAGTTACTAGGAAAAGAAAACCAATCTAAACCCAAAGCAAGCACAAGGAAGGAAATAGTAAAGACTAGAGTGAAATAAATGAAATAAAGCATAGGAAAGCAATAGAGAAAATAAACAAACCCAAAATTTGAAGAATTAAAGAATTAACACCAATCCTTCACAAAGTCTCCTCCACTGAACACAGACAATAAGGGAACACATTTCAACTTATTCCATGAGGCCAGTATTATCCTGATACCAAAACCAGACGAAGACATCATAAGAAAACTACAGACCAGTATCTTTAATAAGTATAGATGCAAAAATCTTTAATAAAATACCTGCAAACAGAATCCAATAACATATAAAAAGGATTATATACCATGGTTAAATGTGATATATTCCAGGAATACAAGGTTAATTCAATATGCAAAAATCAGTGTAATATACCATATCAACGGAATCAAGGACAAAGATAACACAATCATCTGAATAGATACAGGAAAAGCATTTGGCAAAATCCTAAATTCATTCATGATAAAAACACTCAGTAAACTGGTAATATAAGACAACATTTTCAACCTGATAACAGTCCATCTACAAAAAATCCACAGCTACCACCACACTTAATAATTAAAGAATGAATGCTTTGTCATTGAGATCAGGAACAAAACAAGAATGTTTACTCTCACTTCTGTTCAGCATTGTACTGGAGGTTCCAGTCAGGCCACTTAGACAAGAGAATGAAAATAAGTAATCCAGATTAGAAAGGAAAAAAAAAAAAAACTGTATCCATAGATAACCTGATTTGTATACAGAAAATAGTACGGAATCCATAAAAATTACTATTACAACTAATAAATAAATTCAACAAGGTTGCAAGAATCAAAATCAACAAACAAAAATCAGTTGTATTTCTTTACACTAGCAAAGAACATTCCAAAAATAAAATTGAGAGAACAATTGCATTTGGAGAGCATCAAAAAGAATAAAATACCTAGGAATAAATTTAACAAAATAAGTACAAAACTTATACATTGAAAATTACAAAACATCATTGAAAGAAATTAAGACCTAAATAAATGGAAAGACATCTATGTTCATAGATTAGAAGACAATATTGTTAAGATGGCAGTACTCCAAAAATTATGTATAGATTCAACACAATCCCTATCAAAATCCCAGATGCCTTTTTTGCAGAAATTGAGAAGTCAATCCTAAACTTCATATGGAAATGTCAAAACAAGAATAGCCCAAACAGGGGCACCTGGCTGGCTCAATTGGTGGAGCATGGAATGCTTGATCTCAGGGTCATGAGTTGAAGCCCTACATTGGGTGTGGGGCCTACTTAAAATAAAATTAAAAAAAAAAATCTTGAAAAAAAAAAAGAGCCAAACAATCTTGAAAAAGAAGAACAAATTTGGAGTACTGACACTTCCATGTGTCAAAATTTACTAAAAAACTATACCAATCCAGACAGTTTGGCATGGCATAAGAACAGATACATAGTTCAGTGGAATAGAATTGAGAGTCCAGAAATAATCCCTATATTTATGGTCAGATGATTTTTTTTTTAAGATTTTATTTATTTATTTGACAGAGAGAGACACAGCGAGAGAAGGAACACAAGCAGGGGGAGTGGGAGAGGGAGAAGCAGGCTTCCCGCCAAGAAGGGAGCCTGATGTGGGGCTCAATCCCAGGACCCTGGGACCATGACCTGAGCCGAAGGCAGACGCTTAACAACTGAGCCACCCAGGTGCCCCGGTCTGGTGATTTTTGATAAGGAAGTCAAGACAATTCAATGGAGAAAGAATAGTATTTTCAATAAGTGGTCCTGGGAAGACTGAATATCTCCACATAAAAAATTATGTTGGACCCCTATCTCATATCATACACAAAAATTAACTTAAAATGGATCATAGACCTGAATATAGTAGCCAAAGTCATAAGACTCTTAGAAGAAAACACAGCAGTAAATCTTTGTGTTCTTGGATTAGGCAATTATTTCCTAGATATGACACCAAAAGCACAAATGACAATAAAAATAGATAAATTGGACTTTATAAAAATCAGAAACTTCACTGCTTAAAAAGACATCATCAAGAAGTGAAAAGATAACCCACAGAAGGGGAGGAAGTATTTGCAAACCATACATTGGATAAGGGACTGGTATCCAAAATATATAAAGAAGTCTTACAACTTAACAATAATAAGATAATTCATTTTTTTCATGGGCAAAGGATTTGAATGAATATTTCTTCAAAGAAGATATACAGATCACCAATAAACACATGGAAAGATGCTCAACATCATTAGCCATCAGACAAATACAAATCAAAACCACAATGAGATATTATTCATATCCATTAGAATGACTAAAATTAAAAAAAAAAAAACAATAATGAATGCTGACAAGGATGCTGAGAAATTAGAACCTTCATTGGTGGGAGTGTAAATGGAGCAGCTACTTTGGAAAACAGCCTGGCAATTCCTCAAAAGGTTAAAAATAGTTACCATATGATCCAGCAATTCCACTCCTAGGTATAACCAAGATAAATGAAAACATATATTCACACAAAAATTTGTACACCAATGTTCATAGCAGCATCATTCATTGTAGCCAATAGATAGAAACAACCCAAATTTCCATCAACTGATTAATGGATAAGTAGAATATGGTATAGCCATACAATGGAATATTATTCAGCAATAAAAATAAATGAAGTACCAGTACATGCTACAACATGATGAACCTTGAAAACATCATGCTGAATGAAAGACGTCAGTTACCACAAATTGTATGATTCCATTTACATGAAAGGTCCAAATAGGCAAATCTATATCATCAGAAAGATGGTTAGTGTTTGCCTATGACTAGGGGATGTGATGATAGGAATGGAGAGGGACTGATGATAGAGATGGGGTTTCTTTTTAGGGTAATGAAAATGTTCTAAAATTAGATAGTGGTGATGGACGAACAACTGTGAATATACTAAAACAATGAATTGTACATTTTAAATGGGTAAATTTTATAGCATGTGAGTTATATTTTATAAAAGTGTTTAAAAAGACTTTTTAAAGTATAGCTTTTTTTGGACTATAAAGATAATATGTGTTCATTATAGAATGTTGCATAAGACAGACAAGTACAGAGAAGAAAATAAAAATTGTCTATAATCCTGTCATGTAGATATAACAAGTAACTGTTACTACTACTTCTAATTATTATTATTATTATTATTTTACTTCCTTTCTTTGTGGTGAAATACACCCTGCTTTCACTCACTTACTTGGGTATTTGTGGATGATTCTGAAGGGCTGGTTGTTCACATCTGTCTCTGTTATGCAGCAGACACATTTCTCATTTAACTTGACAGGGTATTTCAGGACAGACAGCACCCTGTGGAAGCCATTCATCTGCTCCTCCAGGACCTCCACGGTACTGTGGTTGCTCAGGTCCCTCTCTGCTGGGTCAAGCCAGATCACATTAGGCATGAGGTACCAGCCCTTAGAGATGCACATTGCCACGTCCTCATCATCAATCCTATCAAACTGCACCTGGGGCATTTCAAAGTCTGGTTGGAAAAAATAACAAAATAATTAGTTCCTTTTTTATTTCAGCCTCGGGAGGATCAAGCTGGCAGAAATCTTGCCCTGAGATTTTACATTACTCCTTCTGGAGGCAACAGATCTTGAGGTTCACCATAGTTAAATTTTTGATTTAGAGACTGAGAGAAAATCACAATACACATTTGCTCCTGTCCTGAGGTCTCACCTACCACTGCTGTATTTACTTGTGGAATCCTGCCCTCTTCTCAGCTTCGCTGCAGACTCTCAGCTGACCTCAGACACCCTGCTGAGAACTACAGAAGATAACAAATGGTTCTCACCACCATCTTCCCATCTCTTCCAGCTCTTTCTCCAGAGGGATTCTGCCATGCCTCCCTCTACCCGCAGATCTCTGGTGGGGAGAAGACCACTCTCCATGTAATCCCTAGAAGGGTGAGAATTCCTGGGGCATTATGGAGATCCATTGGTCCAATCCCACATCTTAACAGTGAGAAAATGAAGCCTAGAAAAGCTAAATGAGTTGTCAGAGTCATCCGGAATTAGAACTTGGGCCTCCTAATTCCCAGTGTTGGGCTATTTTCACGAAACCACACTTCATATCTCAAGATTTTCACAGAGGGGAATTATGTTATGTAACATTTTGGGTTTTCAGTGTTATAATTGGTTTGGTGAGTCTGGGCTAAGGCCATTGCATTGTGTGGGGGGGGTTTGTATATGTATTCTGTTTGTTTGTTTGAATGAATGGGTAATATAGACAGGTGCAGATATAGCAACTTTGGTCCAGAGCAGTATTTTCAGCTAAGATGAACTGACAGTGCAAATACCTGATCTCATGATGGATATGAGAAGAGCCTATAATAACTTGTGAAGAGAAAAACTGAGAACACCAGAAGAGGAAACTTAAAATTTATCCCTATAAACAGAGACAGAGCTTGAAACCAAGTTAATCCAAGAAATTCCATTACCTTCTACTATTAGCTTAATTGTACTTTTGCCTCTTTCATTTGGTGTGATGGCTGAGCCCTTGTAGATGGCTTCATCCATGAAATCCACATTTCTTAGTAAAAGTGCTAGAGTCCCCTCAGAAATTTCAGTGCAATCCACAGAGACTCTTCCCTCATACAAGAGTTCTGATCCTCTAGTTGGTCAGTGTTATTATGACACTGGTAAACCAACTTGGGGAAAACTTCAAAAAAATCATAGTACCTGAGAAAGTGGTAATATGCCTTATCATCTTCTACCTCATAGTCCTCTTTGATGTCTTCTCTTTCCCAAGAAAACTCAAGATTTTCTATGCCCTCCACAAAGGAGAAATGGCAGGAGAGGGTAACATCAGGGGAAGGGTGGACCCGTAACTTTTCTGGAGACACTGAGAATCTCAAAGAAGAAATGAAGTTAGTAAAATATTTATAAAGGCCAGTGGATGCTGTATCAGGTAGGCTTTAATAACAGATAAAACAAATCATCCTAGCTATTTCAAGCAGTAAGGAATTTAGAACAGAGAATTAGACGCTTACAAAATCACTGGAAGGCTGGAGGAACGAGCCCAAAGTAGGGCATAGAAGGTAAGACTTGCAGTGTGCGTGTTCTGTCCTTCCTCACATTATGCTGGGCTCAGGACAGCACTTCAGAGTTGGTCTGCCAGTGGAGATGCTGTCTCTGCCACATCAGGAAGTTGGCAAATCAGGAAGTCATCACTGCAAATAGAGACTCCAGAGTCAAACTGCACCTGCTAGATTCACACTGGCAAAAGAAAGTGCATGCATGTTGCATGCACTATCACCATTCTCCCCACTTAAATGCAGTTTAATGCTCGAGCAAATGTATCTGGCAGAGTTTAATTTATCCCCAGAACCCAAACTGCAAAGCAATCTTGGAAATGTAGTTTTTTACTCTCTAGTCTCAGCAAGCCAGGAAGGCAAATCAGAAAGAGAGAAACAGATTTTTGGTAAGTTGGTCTATTCTACCTGCCACAAATACATACTGGTTTGGGCAGAGTATTCATGAGTAGGAGCTGAGGGCTCTGAGGAATACAGCCACGCACTCGGTATTATTCATGGAATCATGACATGGAATACACTCCTGATATGTTAGAGCTGGAAGAAGGCTTAGAGATCATCTGATTCAATCTTTTCAAAACCATTTTTTTCTAAAGCCCTCCTCAGAAGTTGTCACTGACAGCCAGGGGAGGACCAAATCAGTGAGACTTCCACTCCACCAATTCAATCAGAACCATCCCTAATTTACTTTATAAAGGAGGATAGAGGATAGTGTTTGATATAATGAGGTGAGATGAAATAGAAGAAAAAATAGGTGAAGCACCAAGGGAAAATCCAAATGGTGAAAGTTCATAGGCAAGGAAGCTTCCAAGCCATCCATCCAGCAAAAAGCAGCCAGAGAGATATGCAGTAGGGTATATTCCAGCTGAAAAATAGATGCAATCTGCTCATTCATCAGTAGCAATCATGTGGCTCTTCGTGGGGCTGGGCCTAGACTGTCCCCAGAGTGCAGAGACCATATCTTAACCATCCTGTTTCACCAGTACCTAGCACAGGACTTGACGCAGTTAAAAAAAATATCCAGTGTGATTTTTTGTGCGAATGTGACTGGGTCACAGGGGTGCCCAGGTATTTGGTCAAATATTATTCTGGGCATGTCTTTGAAGGTATTTTTGGATGAGGTCAGTATTTGAATAGGTAAACTAAGTTGATGGTCCTCTCTAATGTGGGTGGGCCTCAACCAATCAGTCAAAGGCCTGAATGGAACAAAAAGGCTGACCCTCCCTCGAGTAATAGGGAACTGCAGTCTGGCTGTTTGAGCTGGACTTCAAACTAAAACATAGGCTCCTTTTGGGTCTTAAGCCTTCAGACTTGGACTGGAACTATACCATCACTTTCCTGGGTCTCCAGCTTGCCTACAGCAGAGATCCTGGGACTTCTCACCTCCATAATCACATGATCTCTTCATATAGATTTTGTTTGTTCTGTTGCTCTGAGAATTCTGACTAATACATTAGGTGACATTTAAGTGTTTACAGTGCGTCAGACATATTCTAAGAGATTTTCTTGAATTTAATTCATTTAATCTGCACACTAACCCGGAGGTAGTTACTATTATTATCCCCAGTTTACTACTGAGAAAATCAAGGCCCAGTGGGGTGAAGTAAGGTGCTCAGGGACACACAGCTAGTAAGTGGTAGAGCTATGATTCAAACCTAGGCAGTCTGGCTCCACAGCCCTCCATCTGAACTGTACTCTTCCGTCTAACCATAGACACTCATCCTAAACTTGAGGAATGAATCGACTAATTAAATAAATGAATGAATATAAAGGAAGACAGATGAGAATAGAAATAAGAAGGCAAGGAGAAACAACCTGCATAACCTTCAGAAGGATGGATATGCATATAAAACATGAAATGTTTTCTTGCTCAAATTGTTATTTCTCTGATGTGGTTACAATCAAGAATCAGTGGATTATAGTTATTAAAAAATTCCTGTCTGAAGATTTGTAAATCTAAGTTTTAATTTTGTTTTTGTTTTTGGTTTTTTGTTTTATTTTTTTGTTTGGTCGTTTGTTTTTTAGGAAGCTCCACACCCATCACAGAGCCCAACGTGGGGCTCAAACTCATGACCCTGAGATCAAGACCTGAGCTGAGATCAAGAGTCAGATGCTTAACCCACTGAGCCACCCAGGCACCACCTATGTTCTAGTTCTAAGTCCCCCTTACTAGTCATTTGGCAATGGGCAAGTCACTTATTCTCTCTGAGTTAGTTTCCTAGTGTATAATTATGATAAAAATACCTGCCCTGGGGCTATTACAAAATATCTTGGAATCTCAGGGGCTGTTTTTATATGACATGGCTCAGTAATTTTCCAGAGAGACAGAAAGAGTGGACCAGATGGGTGGATACCTTAGTAAACTGCCCCTCTTCCCAATCTCTCATAAAAATATGTAGCTTACTCATGAGAGGTCCTTAATTCTAGCTTCTCAGGTTATACCCAGGAGCTCTTGCTGCAGCTGAACCCCTTCTGGTCCCAAGGGAAAGGGTCTCAGACTCAGGAATCTCAAGACTCTAGCCAAAGAACCATGAAACACAATCTACTAATGATGTAATTGGTAATATAAAAGCCAACTTCTGACTGATGTGTCTGCAGATGGTGCTACTTAAATCTGAATCACTCTTTTGTCTATTTCAATCTGTGATCTCTAGACCATTGTATCTTTAGCTTCCCAATGCCTAAGAACCTGGGCAAAAGCTCAGCAAACAGCTAATAATGTGAGAAAACACTTTCAAAACTGTAGAAAGGTATGTCTAAAGCACTTACTATAGTACCTAGTACACAGTATTAGACTAACAATATTGTTATAAAAGTAAGATATTATTAGAACTAATACACCTTTCTCTTTCTCACCTACATACACACTCATTCTTTTATCTGGTTGGGTTTTTCTTGGCTGTGAGTAGATTGCCTCCCTACACACAAACACACAGTAACCAAGCATCAAAAGAAAAGAGCCAGTAAATGTAATCTGGATGCACCAGGCCTTGCACTAACTCTAAACAGATCTCTGGAGCTTGAGGATGTCTTCAAGCTGCTGCTACCTTTGGCAGAACTGCTGCAGGTTCCTAAGAGATGGCCTATGCCTGAAAACTGTAAATATGTTCTATCACTTTGTGAAGGAGTTATATTGCAGGTTTTGGATACATGTGCTCCTATAAAGCGTTTTTGCATAGATACTTTTGGTTAGTTGAATTACATTAACAGTTTCAACATCTGTACATTGTCCATCCCAATATTTCTAAAGAATTGAGAACGAAGAATTATAAAAACCCTGCGTTGACTGCCCATCCAGATTTTTCAGGACAGGCCTGATTTCAAATATTCTGTGATACTATACCCTAAATCGACACCTGTCAGAGTCACTTGAACTGGGGAAGAATATCTAGATATTTTTGTTTTGGTTAGAGAAGTTCAAATCATAGGTGTGAATAACTATAATTATCTAACATGAACTCAAATGGACAAACCAAATTGGGAGGGAGGGTTCTCATTTAAAAAAAATAAACAACTCTTTTTGGGGCAGCTGGGTGGGTCAGTCGGTTAAGCGTCTGCCTTCAGCTCAGGTCATGATCCCAGGGTCCTGAGATTGAGCCCCACGTCAGGGCTCCCTGCTCAGTGGGGAGCCTGCTTTTCCCTCTCCCCACTGCTCGTCCTCTCTCTCTGTCTCACTCTCTCTGAAATAAATAAAATCTTAAAAAAAAAATGTTTTACAATTTGTGCCTGTTAGATTTTCCCATCTGTCCTTCAACATTACCTGTGAAACAAATATAGCATTGTTATTCCCATTTAACAAATGAAAAGACTGAGGTTCAGAGAGATTAAATCATTTGCTTGGTTTTTTAAAATCTCCAAATCACTATTTTCCTCACTATTCTCAACGCTGTTTCAGAAATACCCACAAAGTTTTTTTGAAAAGTGACTCACCTGCATCATGAACTAGCAGCAGTAGGTTGACAATCACCGAAAAGAAAGACATTCTGATAAAAAGAAAGGTTGAAAATTTGTCTCAGCCTAGAAAGAGTATGGGCCAGCATAACCCAGCCACGCCCTGCTGGGCCTGAGGAAGGCCTCACAGGCACCCCCTCCAGGCTGCACACCCACCACACGTACTGTCAGCAGGCTGCCGCACCTCAGCATTCTATGTGGGATGCCCACTGAATCCTGGTCACTCAGGCTGATACTATGCATATTTGTCAGATTTGCTATAGGAACCTGGAAATCTATTTCTATAATGTGCAAATCTGTCTCTCTAGGTGAGTCACATTTGAATTCGTCTGAATCAGAGTCAGCCCTGAAATGATGTTTGAGGGGTCAGGGGCAGCTTCCCAACTGTTGCTGACCTTCTGGATGTTGCCAGGGGAAAGTTAGCAGTGGAGGAAGTACAACAGTAAATATGCAGGTGTGTCTGGGAAGTTATGGAGTGATGCTTCCCAAACAGAGAAAAGTAACCAAGAGACAGTACTAAACCAGTCTGCCAAGCCAGGGTTGTACTTTAACAGGGATGGAATTAACAGGCCTAGGGCAGCTCTGGAAGAGGAAGGAGAAAGGGCTCAGGGAGCACTCAGTCCCTTTGAGAAGCCCTGACACAAATACACATCTCCATACGGGTGAACTCAATCTTATTCACTGGCTGGATCTAGTCTCCCTCTTTGGTCTCATCTCTCAAGATTCCCCCACAGTCCAAGTTCCACCAGTACCATCCCTAAGTCTTGGTGCTAACCCAACCCTCCTCACTTGGCACATCCCCCATCATCACCACCCTCACCTGCCCCTCCCCAAACCCATTTATCATTCAAAACTCTGCCCAAGTAGCACTTCTTCCCGAAGTCCTCCCTGATCCCAGTCCGGTTCATCATTCCCCCTTCTATGTTTTGAACATACTTTTGTCATTGCATAGATCACATTGTATAGCAATTATTTCTGTACATGTTCTTTTGTCCCTTACTATGTTGGAGAAAGAAAGAAAGAAAGGTAATATGATCATAACCTTTCAGCATACTCTCCTGCCTCCTCTTCTTCCTATAATCTACCACAGTCCTCCAGGTCTATGATACACCATACTAATAGCAACTACACATCGAATGCCTATGAATGACAAATTTGATCTTAAAAATAAGCCTATGAAGTAGATGTTATTATTGTTTCCATTGGACAAGTAAAGAAACGGAAGCATAGAGAGGGTAAATAATTCATCCAAGGTCATACAGAATCAAGACTCTCACCTTTCTGGTTAGCTGAAGTCTGTGCATGTCACCTAAATTCTGTCCTGACAAACCTCTGCAACTTCACCACACACTATGGGAAGTTCCACCACCCAGAGCATCCAGCAAGAGAACAGGAAGCTTGTTGACTGATGAAGCAGGTGGACTGTGGAATATTACAATAAGTCTCTTTCCTAGAGGCCTATTAGACTCTGGAGAATATGCACTCTGCGGATTGACTATTAACAGATACAGAAGAACAAGAGAATAAAGGAGCAGCCCTCGCCAGCCAATGACCAAATAAAACACTTCTGGGGTCAGTGGGACAAATGGAAAGATTCTTTACCAAGCTTATATATTCTAACTAGGAATATGACTAGTGAATGACAACAACCATTGATTCATAAAATATCTCTCTGTGGTATATGTAGTAAAAAATTTGAAAGACATATCTAAAATAATATAAAACTTAAAAGGCAATATGCAGCTAACAGCTACTAGAGCTATAGTCCAACAGAGAGAGGGGAAGAGAAAGAGATTGTAGACAAATGTCATGGAGAAAAGGTTATAGGAACATAGTATGTCTTTTCAACTCAATAAAATCTCATTATATATTTCCAAGATATTTATTTCCAAGGAAAGTTTTTCATCATTAGGAAAGACATAAATCTTAAAGTCTTCCCAATTGCCCCACCCCCAGTAGATACAATCTTTGTTCCTCCCTACTTCCATTATATTTCATCCCTTTATATAGTACTCCCTCATTTAATAAAGCATATTTTCAGTGATTCTAATAGTAATACAGATTCATTGTAAAAACATGTTTGAAAGAATAAAAAAGAATTTTACAATCTCTTTTAAGTCCATCACCCAGACAATCACTGTTAGCATTTTGGAATATTCTCTTTCAGTCTTTTATATGTGTACTTTTTAAGAGAACTCAGTTTGTATATACATTGTAGTGTCCAGCTTAATTTTCCTCATGACACTGTTTTGTGAGCATTTCTACATCACTAAAAATATTCTTACAACCTGGTCTACTTTATTTCATAGTTTTTTGTATGCATATCATATCACCCCTACTGGACTGTAAGTTCCTTAAGGGCTAGGGTGGGTTCTCTTTGTCTTTCATATGTCCATCATGGTGTTCTATATGTTTGAGGTGCCCATAAGTAATTTTAACACATAATCAAAATTAAATTGGATCCAGTGTTACAAAGTTTACTATATACAGGAAAGAGAAAGAAAAAAAAAAACAGAAAAAAAGCAATTCATACCCTACTAAAGAAGAATATTAACTACACTGAAACAGAGAACTCCAATAGTGCACCCAGGTATTGCCTCTAGGGCTGGTACCCTTTGCACCTCTCATTTACAGAGAAACTATGAGAAGTCTATGAACGAGCTCTATGCAGAAACATAACATGTAAAGGAACCAGATACAGTTGGAGTGGACACCTAAATGCTTCAGTCACATTACCCTTCATTTGGCTCTCCAGTTCACAATCATAGCCAACAATCTCTCTAAACAGTCTGTTTATTGAAAGAGCTTACCTGTATCGCAGCTGGTCCCTCTTATCTTACAGGTGAGAAGAAAGTGAGGACGAGTCAGCATGTCTTTGAAAGGACAGTTGTGTGGTAGTCCCCAGGGAGAAGGCTCGGTGATACTGTTACTACCAAGATGTTGCAGCAAAAGGTCAGTAAAGAGCTCCATGAGACTTAATATTTCTAATAGCTGCATCTGTTGGCTAAAAAGGAAGTGTTTGCAAAGGCATTATGGTGAAAGAGTGAAAACAAAAGAACACCATAACGTCCAATACTGGAGAATCATTCTGGGCCCATTTTAAGAAAAAAAAATCATTTTTGAAAAAGAATTAAATGACACAGAAAATGCTATGTAATTTTTAGTGAAAAATAAAAATACAAAACAATATATGTTTACACATATGTATGATTTCAACCTTGGAAGGAAATATACCAAAATGTTAACAGTGGTCATTCTGGATGGGGAGATTATGTGTGATTTTAGTTGTTTTTATTATATATTTCTGAATTTTCTATAGTGACCTTTTAGATTTACATTATGATAAATATGTTATAAATGGGAAAAAAAAGGAAATGGACAGACAGAACTTACACACATATAGTGTGGTGCAGAGAGTGAAGGTACAGGAAGGAAAGGAAAGGAAATTTAGTGTCTATCCTCTTAGGGATAAGTATGATTTGTATCTCCATTAACCTTTAAGCTCAAGTTCTATGGTGCCCAGCTTTTTATTAAGGTGCCTTTCCCCCACAGCACATGGATTACTGGGTCTGGGTCTGAATTAGGCTGCTCCGGAACAAGAGGAACAGGAACAAGAGGACTGCTGGGGATGGGTGTCAGAAGCAGCTTCGCCCTGGATCCCTCACCCCATCTGACCATATACGAAGCAGTTAGTTCCTCGCTTTGGATCTCCAGAGCCTCTCTGTCCCTCCAATCACTTTTAGTGGCTGAGTGAAGAAAACACATATGAAGTTTCAAAATAAACTTGAAACTACATCCATTAACATGAACTGTTGAGCAACGTCTTTTTTTAAGATCCTACAACATCTAGCATAGATTTGTTTTTTACATAGTATCCTCAATAAAAAAAATAACTATGAAATGGAACATAAAAGAGTGAAATAATTGTGATCTGTTTATATCACTTCTCTAACTCATGCTATAGGGCTTGAAGCTTGACATACATTTGACTTCCACTCTGACGCAGAGGAGGAACATCCTGACGATACCACAGTACCAAGAAACCAGGAAGAATACATTGTACTCAGATATAAGACTCTATATAAGGTGCTACTTTCCACAGACTACCCCAAGCCTGGCAGTCTTTTTATGTATGTCTACATGAGCTATAGGGAAATGGGATGTAGAGCTTCCAGAAAGAAAAGAATCAGAGATGGTCTCCTAACCTGGTATTCATACCTCTCCCACCATGATCTAAACCAATTTATCATTTCAAGCTTTACTCTTCCTTTACACCATATCATAACAGCACACCTTAGATCTGGGGGACAAAGTCACAATTTTAAATACTTTCTCCCATTATTCTCCAAAGTGTGGCAATACTTGGCTATTGTAACCATCAGCACAAAGCCAAACCAGACCCTTCACCTTTTCCCAGACATAGGCTGTAATTTCCTTCTTGTTTTTGTCATTCTTTCTCAAGAATACCTTCTTCTTCTCCTTTCCTCCAATTCCATATACCTCATCCCATTTCTACCAAAAGCTTTCCTAATTGCAGCAGTCTGGAAAGGTGACTTTACTCTGAATTTTTATAGTATTTGGTTATGCATCTGTATGCCAGTTACCAAATGCTACTGTCTATTTCAGTAACTTTAGGTTTATAACAGTTTTATTGAGATAAAATTCATATACCATACAATTCATTTACTTAAAGTGTATATAATTCCATGGTTTTTACTATATTCACAAGTTGTACAACCATCATCACACTCAATTTTAGAACATTTTCATCACCCCAAAAAGAAACTGTGCCAAGCAGTCACTCCTCATTCCCTCCTCCCTCAGCCTCTGGCAGCCTCTAATGTAGTTTCTGTTTTTATAGATTTGCCTATTTTGGACATTTCCTATAAATGGAATGACACGTTATATAGTCTTTTGTGACTTGCTTCTTTCACTTACGTGTTCTCATAATGTTTTCAAAATTTATCCATTTTGTAACATGTATCAGCTTCATTTATTTTTATTGCCAAATAAAATTCCATTGTATGGATAACTACATTTTATTTGTCAATTTATCAGTTGAGAGAACTTTGGGTTGTTTCCATGTTTTAGCTATGATGAATAATGCTGCCATGAACATCTGTGTACAAATTTTTGTGTGAACATGTTTTCTGTTCTCTTGGATCTACACCTAGGAGTGGAACTGCTGGGTTACATGGTAATTCTTATTTTCATTAGCCTTTTGAGGAACTACCAGACTGGTTTCCAAAGTAATTGCACCATATTATATCCCCAGCAGCAGTGTAGGAGGGTTCCAACTTCTTTACATCCTCACTAGCACTCATTATTTTTTGGTTTTAGCCATCCTAGTGGGCGTGCATGGTATCTCTTCATAGTTTTGATTTGCATTTGCTAATGATATTGAGCATCTTTTCATGTATTTATTGGCTATTTGTACATCTTCTTTGAAGAAATGTCTATTGGATCCTTTGCCCATTTTTATATCGGATTATTTGTTTTATTATGGGTTCATGTTTAATTTCTGTTACTTTAAGTATCTTAAAGGCAGTGATTATATTTGGACAAAATCATAAACTCTGGAGTCATATTCCATTATTTGGTTATCCAGCCCCATCATAACTGTATGACTTGGCAAGTTCCTTAATTTTCCCACAGCTCAGTTTTTTTATCTGTAAAATAGAGATAATAATACCTACCTTATAGAGTGAGTATGAGGATTAAATAAAATAATGACTACAAAGCTCTTAGGACAGTGCATGGCACTTAGAAAACAACCAATAAATGTTAGCCCTTATTTTTAGTTATCTCTATACATTTCCAGTGTATAGTTCACTTTTTTACACACAAAAGTGCTCCATGAGTATTTGAGAATGAATAAATTGGGGACTAGAAGTATTTTAACTTGTTTATAGTTGTTGCTATGACTAGCTATCTATGAAAACAGACATTTTTCCAAAGAAGACATCCAAATGGCCAACAGACACATGAAAGAGTGCTCAACATCACTCGGCATTAGGGAAATCCAAATCAAAACCTCAATGAGATACCCCATCACACCAGTCAGAATGGCTAAAATTAACAAGTCAGGAAACGACAGATGTTGGCGAGGATGCAGAGAAAGGGGAACCCTCCTACACTGTTGGTGGGAATGCAAGCTTGTGCAGCCACTCTGGAAAACAGTATGGAGGTTCCTCAAGAAGTTGAAAATAGAGCTACCGTACAACCCAGTAATTGCACTCCTGGGTATTTACCCCAAAGATAAAAATGCAGTGATCCAAAGGGGTATGTGCACCCCAATATTTATAGCAGCAATGTCCACAACAGCCAAACTGTGGAAAGAGCCAAGATGTCCATCGACAGTTGAATGGATAAAGAAGATGTGGTATATATATACAATGGAGTATTATGCAGCCATCAAAAACCCCCTGAAATCTTGCCATTTGCAACAATGTGGATGGAACTAGAGGGTATTATGCTAAGCGAAATAAGTTAATCAGAGAAAGACATGTATCATATGATCTCACTGATATGAGGAATTCTTAATCTCAGGAAACAAACTGAAGGTTGCTGGAGTGGTGGGGGGTGGGAGGGATGGGGTGTCTGGGTGATAGACATTGGGGAGGGTATGTGCCATGGTGAGTGCTGTGAATTGTGTAAGACTGATGAATCACAGACCTGTACCTCTGAAACAAATAATACATTATATGTTAATTTAAAAAAAAGAAGAATATAGTAGGAAGGGAAAAATGAAGGGGGGGAAATCGGAGGGGGAGATGAACCATGAGAGACTATGGACTCTGAGAAACAAACTGAGGGTTCTAGAGGGGAGGGGGTTGGAGGGATGGGTTAGCTTGGTGATGGATATTAAAGAGGGCACGTACTGAATGGAGCACTGGGTGTTATATGCAAACAATGAATCATGGAACACTACATCAAAAATTAATGATGTAATACATGGTGATTAACATAATAAAATAAAATTTTAAAAAAAAGAAAAGGTAAAACAACCCTGTTATGGAACCTATGCTGAGCAAGTGGATAAAATTAAAAAGGTATATAGTCACTCAAAATCCCAAAACAGTCACCGAGGAAAACACCTCCTCAGGTATGAGAAAAACCCCTAAATGGAGTGCCTTCGTTGGCAGTAATCATCAGGATGCTTTTATAGCTCTAACAAATGCTTAGCCAAAGACATACAGATCTGAAAATGCCATGTCATTATTTGAATCTTCAAAAAATTTCAATAAAGAAGACTTTTGGGGAAAGATACTCAGGAAAGCTTCTTAATCTATCAATTCTCCAGCAAGAATATACTAAGGCAGAGAAAGAAACTGCTAACGATAACCAAACTGTAGACCTTAACTGACAAAACTGGCTGCAAACTCACTCTGGGCCCCTGTAAATATAGAGGCCATTGTCTCCTCATGATGAATTCAAAGACTACGGCTCCCTCTGCCTTCAGTGCTGCTTTAAACAGAGAATAACTGGCTTTTTGATATCTGGGCTACAGTTGGTAGGAAGATGGCAGAACTTTAAGCCATCCAGGCCAAACTGGATAAACCAACCTGAGATTCAGCAATGGAAAGAACTCAAAGCAGCTGACCTTCATCTGACAACTAATGAGGAGACATGGAGTCAGGGGAGGAGGGAGAGAGATGGATTGAAATAATGAAAGCAGTGCTTCAGAATGCCTATCAGAATCCAGAGGTAACTGGAATGAAGGTAGAAATCCAGTTTAGGAGGCCTGGTGTCTTGAAATGACTAGGGGACAGGACAATAAGCATAAATTTGGGGAGTCAAAACTCAGCGGCAAGGAGATTTCAGACCAACCTCTCAAACTGTAATCCCTAAAAGATGGCACGACCCAGGCAGAAAACCACAGTTTATGCAGGAAATTGTGCCATCATGAGTAAAGACTGTTCTCAACTTTCTCTTTACCCTGATCATGATAAAACAAGTGTGAGAGAGTAATAGTTATAACAATAACTACTATTACTACTACTGCTAATAATAATAATAATAATTGCTACTACTCATGGAGTATTTACTGTGAACTAGGTACTGTGGTAAGCACTTTAGATTTAACCTTATAATGACTCTATGAAACAGATAATATTCTTCATAATCAAAGCTCAAAGAGAATTAAATAACAGAAATCTGATTTCCAGAGGTAGGATCTGAAACCTAGACCTTATAAAAGCCAAAGCCCATGCTTTAACATCAGTATGTTGCCTCCCAGCTAGTATGGTTTACGAAGGGATTCTCCACTCAGCTTATTTCCTGGTTTTTCTGCAGTCAATTGGGAAATAAGGCCATCTTAATCAGGTATGCCAAAACCTATTCATGCATTTATTTCATTTACTCACTATTTATTGAGCACATACTATGTCTCAGGGAGGGGTGCCATGGTAAATAGACACAGTTCCTGCCCCTAGGAAATGCAGGCAGGGTGGCTGAAGGAGGAAGTGCCCTTCATTTGATGTCCCTTCTTTTTTCAATAACATCCTAATCAGGAGACTTATCCTCAAATATAGTCAGTTTGACCCAAGAGTCACTTGATGGTTAAGTTTTGATAAGTGGACAAATATGCCATATACTCTCACAATTCCCTGAAATCCATATCCCTCTCCCTAGATAATGCACTACGCTGTCTCCTCTTCCCTTCACACTCTCCACTGCCCCCGCTGTGAAATCTCCTTCAGCTAGCTACAAGACCGAGCCCATCACTGTGAAGGACAAGAAGCCACCAATGCTCCTTCACCTCCCACAGGGTTTTCAGAACTCTCCAAGCTGCCTGGATAGTTTCAAGGCCCACTATAGTGGGCCTGCTGAATTTAGACTTATCTGGCTGTGAGCAAGAGAGATGCATCCATGGTAGCTGAGATAGGGCTTATTATAATGAGCAATAAGGGGATTCTTACATTAATTTGAACATTTCTTCAAAACTTTCTATCAGGCAGCTTCATTCTCTACTATTTGTGGCTATTTCCATCTTTCCCCCTTCATTTCACTGATTTGTAACCTTAACTATTTCTGAATCACATTCAAATCATTTTTTTCTCATATTAAATTCCTGTCACTTAATTTTTATCACAGACACATAGCACATTTTAAAAGCATAAAACTGTATTATTTTAAGTATTTGCAACTTTCACATATGACGGCTCCTGCCAGTATGTGATCTTGATCCAAGACAAAGTCTAATTTTTAAGAGGACCCTTTGAAACAGGTTTTGAAACATTCTATTTCTGGTCTTAAAAGTCTTAAAAACATTCTATTTCTGATTTACACTGACAAAGTATGTCCTCCTACTTACTGTAACTCAGGCAGAAATTAAAATTTGGCAGCAGGTAAGAGGCATAAAGTTTCTCACGCAAATGAGTGACAAGAAAAAAAGTTACTTTATTCTTTTTAGGAGGAAAGCAACTTAATGTCATTGATTATATACAATTTTTGAACAATTATATGCATAAGGTTTGTAAAAAATTGTTAAATATTTTTCTCATTTCTACTCGACTTTCCAAAATTATGAAAAGTAACTTCAGAAAAGACTGAGCTTAGGGCAAATATGTTCATTAGAAGTACTAAATCAAAGCCAGAGTCGGGATTTTGCCAGTTAATTGTAGTTTCAACCCGCAGTAAAATCTCACTGCTTTCTTAGTTCTTAAACTGATCAATTAACTTGAGCTATCTCAAGTTAACGAACCTCTTCCATGGCTCCCAAATTCATTTCCAGCCACTACAAATTAACCCAAAAACCACAGAAATGCTTCTATAGCTAAAATGTAGAAACACCTTTACTTAGTATACCTTACTTTCATCGGGTTTCAAAAATTAATCCTGCAGGCAAACAGGGCAAGTAATTATCCATGCTCTACGGATGGAGAAACTGAAATCAAATTCTTTGTCCAAGGACACAGGCTTATTATATATATAGCAGAACTCGAGGTCGGATCCAGGGGTTCTGATTTCTAGCCCAGCTGTCTTTGCACTCTGAAGTCGGCTTGGTTAATCCCGCGCCTTTAAATTCCTGGGGCTTGCTGTAATGAAGCTGACTCACCACTAAATTCCTGTGTTCTCACTGAATCCCGCAGAGTAGGGGCCCCACTCCCAAACTGGGAACCAAGGGGGCGGTGCACCATGACGCGCAAACCCTCAAGGCCAGATAAGCAAACAGTCCTCGGGCTGTTTACCGAGGCAGTCCTGCACTCTGAGGACAGGGAAACCAGACTCCAGGGACTATAAACCGCCCCTGTTCAAACCCTCCGCGGTTCAAAGGGCAACTTCGCGGCCACCCGGCCTCCGCCCCCGCCCGCACCCCTTCTCCGTGCCGCGCGCCACGTGAGACGCAGCCCGGCCCCCCGAGCGGCGCGCGCACCCCGCCGCCTGGCGTCGCGTGACTCGGCTGGGGCGCGCGGGGTTAGCGCCCGCCCGCGCCACTTCCGACGCAGCCCTCGGTTCAGGTTCCGGGGCGCCGCGTTGCTCCCGGCCTGGGGATCGCGCGGGGCGCCCTTCGGTTCCGGGGCCAGGCGCCCCGCGGCGGCCGGGATGGAGGAGGCCGGAGCGGCGGTGGCCACGGCGGGGGAGGCCGAACTGAACTTGTCCCGCCTCAGCGTGTCCCCGGAGACTCTGGAGTTGGAGCTGGAGGCGCGGGGCGAAGAGCGGCGCGGCGCCCGTGAGGCGCTGCTCCGGCTGCTACTGCCTCATAACCGTCTGGTGTCGCTGCCGCGGGCGTTATGCAGCGGCTTCCCGCACCTCCAGCTGTTGGACGTGAGCGGCAACGCGTTGACCGCGCTCGGGCCAGAGCTGCTCGCGCTGAGCGGCCTCCGCACGCTGCTGGCCAAGAACAACCGGCTCGGCGGGCCCGGCGCGCTGCCCAAGGGCCTGGCCCAGTCGCCGCTCTGCCGCAGCCTCCAGGTGCTCAACCTCAGCGGGAACTGCTTCCAGGAGGTGCCCGCGTCGTTGCTGGAGCTGCGCGCGCTGCAGACCCTCAGCCTGGGTGGCAACCAGCTGCAGAGCATCCCGGCCGAGATCGAGAACTTGCAGAGGTGAGCGGGCCCCTGCCCCAGAGTAGGGAAGCCTGGGGCGGTGTCCAGAAGCGCCGGAGCGCTAGGCTTGTCTTGGCGCTGGTCATTTGTCACGTAACCAACCGTCTGCTTCCAGGCTCGCTCTTTAACTCTTTGGCAGTGATCACTGCCCGGCCATCTCTGCGAGTTGTAAGTGAAGATCCGGTAAGATCGCGTGTGTGACAGCGTTTGGGACTGTGTTTGCCCTAAGGAGATTTTCGAGGCAATTTTTCTTTTTTCTTGGGTTCCGGGTGTGGGGGGAGTGATCCCAACTGAGTAGGTACTCAAACAAATGTCAGTCTGAGGTGGTCACTTCCTTGCTTTGACGTCTGTGGTGGTTTTTCATGCCTTTTAGCGTGACAAACAAGATACTCTGACCAATCCCTTGCCTTCCACTCCATTTCCTGCTATCCTTTATCTGTAGCAATACTAGCACTGTTTGTGAAATTCAGTGAGTCATGCAGTTTACCAACACCTTATGGGCACTTACTAAATATGTGGTGAATGGATACAGGGCCTCTGTTCATGTGCAGTTCCCTTTGCCTGGAATGTTGCCTGCACCTGGCAAACTCCTATTCATCCTTCAGAACCTATTGCCAGAGTTGTCTGTTTTCTTCCTTTACTGGTTCCTGGACAATTATTGATTGAACTGTACTTCCTGTGTACCTCATTCATCCTGCCATTGCATTTACCTTATGGATTATAATTCCTTGTTCAGAGGTCTGCCTCACCCACTAGATTATTCAGTAAATATATGTTGAATTAAATGGAAAGAGGAAGCAGAGAGGCAGGATAGCAAAAGTCTCCTAAAAGTGCTCTGCAGGGGTGTGAGAAATAGAGCAAAAGCAAGTGTATTGTCCAAAGTGAAAAAAAAAAAACGAAATGTTTGTCATCTGTAAAATATTTTCACATCCTTTGTTGAGTTTTCTGGGATAACAGAATATTAGAGCTAGAAAGAGGTAAGTGTAGTGAAAAGAACATTGACCTGAGAATAAGAACTCTTGGTGTCCCAGCCTTAGGCAGGTCACTTAACATATCCTAACCACAGCTTCCTAATCTGCAAAATAAGGCATTTGGACAAGATGTCCATTGACTCATCAACAGATATTTATGAAGTACTTACCATGTGTCAGGCACTGTCCTAGGTACTGGGGATGCAGTGGTAAACATGGTCCTGTTTTCATGGAGTTAACATACTAATAGGAGACATTAAACAACGAATTATAAACCTCATTTTTTGATTACAGTTTTGAAAAGTTCTATGAAGACAAACGGAATGCCTTCAAATAACAGAGGGACCTGACTTAGTTTGGTCCTTGAACAGGTAACATTTGAATTGAGAATGGAGAATTGAGAATTTTGAAGGAAGAATAAGAATTAACTAGGAGAGGGTGGGGTGGGATCAGTCTAGGTAAAAGGAACAGTGCATGTAAAAGCCGGAAGGCGAGAGGGACTGAAGGCCAACATTTTGAAAGGAGGACATTGTACTAGAGCATAGTGAGAAAGTGGCCAAGAGTGAAAGTTGGCAAATAGAAACTTGGACCAGTCCCAGGCCATGTTGGATCTTGAAGGCCATGGTAAAGTTTGGATTTTATTCTAAGTACACACAGGAAAGTTTTAAGCACATCAGCCTTGTTGCTGTGCAGCAATGGAATGGGGAGAGGGTGGAGAGATGAGATTTTGAGGGCTGGTTAGAAGGAGGTCATTCTAGTAGAATGAGAGATGATGGTCACTTACACCTGTGTGATGCTAAGAGAGATATTAAGAAATAGAAAACTTGGAAAGAGATTTAGACATAAAATTGACAGTCCTTGGTTCCTCCTAGTTTTGAAGTTACATAAGTCCAACCTTCTCATTTGAGTCTTAATATACTAAGAAAAACCTAGAGCAATTATTTCCATTACATGGGGGAAAAGGTAGGCAAAAATCCTATTTATTGAGTACTTACAATGCTGTAGGCCCTGTAGTAGAGGCTCTAAATATCCTTTTTAATTCTCACAATGCCTATGTGAGATGAGAGGAAGAAACTGAGGCTTTGAGAGGTTAAGTTATAAGAACCCAAAGCCAGTGAGTGGTGGAACTGGATTTGATCTCTGGGATCTCTGAATCCAGACCCAAGAATTTTCCGCTGTGACAGAATAGGGCTAGAACCTAATCCTTCTGACTTCTGTTGCATATGTGATCAGGAGGATTGGTCAAAACTCTTTCCTGGTTTACCTGATTTTCTAGCCAATAAACTATGCTTTTTGGTCATTGTACCTTTGGCTCCAGTTGTGTGTGGGATCTCTGTCAGTGTTTCCTTTTTTCAGTTTTATGCTCCATTTCTCTTTACTGATAAGAATCAGTAAAGGTTTAGGCCATGCTCCAAATTGAAACTCTAGTTGAGTGTAGGCTAAAAGGGTCGTGTAGAAATACAATCTTAGAAGTAGAAACAACCTGGGCAATGGCCTGATTCACCCCCCTCCCTTTTTTTTTTAACAGATGAGGACACTGAGATTTAGTATCAGTCACTTGCTTGAAGCCAGATAGTGACAATGAGATTCATGTGGTTCATGTACTTTAAAAGCTTGTGGTGAGTGATAGTATTTGAAAATGATTCGATATGGGGATGCTACCTCAAGAAAACTACTTTCTTTATCCAAAGATGTATAGTTCTTATCTCTCTGTGTTTCTCTACCTGTTTCCTGCCTTCTTGTACAAAGCTGCCTCACTATAATTCCATCTCCCTTTAACCAACCATAATGTAGAACGAATTTATATTTTTGTTATTCTTAATGTCACTTTTTAAAATATTTATTTATTTGACAGAGAGAAAGAGATAGCAAGCGAGAGAGAGCACAAGCAGGGGGAGCGGCAGGCAGAGGGAAAGGGAGAAGCAGGCTCCCCACTGAGCAAGGAGCCTGACGCGGGGCTCAATCCCAGGACTCTGAGATCATGACCTGAGCTGAAGGCAGACACTTAACTGACTGAGCACCCAGTCGCCCCTCTTAATGTCATTTTTATTTGGGTGGAGGAGCAAAACATTTTCTACTTAGACCTGTGGTTAAAGTTATTGGCACTAAGGGCCTCGTCTGTTTTTTCAGTGGGTCATTGGCCCTTGCTAGAGAAAAGGCACCCACTTCAGTATCCCTAAGGATTGGAGAATCAAGATACTTTCCAAGAAGCAAATTTAACATTGGTGTGTTAATGCTAAACAGAAAGGAAAGGAAGAATTTTGTGAATTCTGTGAATGAGTTTTCTGTTTCAATGTTTGTCACGATAAAATAGAATTGTTCCAAGCCCGATGAACAGAAGTGCAATGTTGACAAAAATACATCACAAGAACTTTTAAACACTACAGTTTTGCTTAACATTCAACAGTAGTTTGTTTTCTCCTTTCAAAAGCATTTTTGGAAACAGTAGAGTGTGTTTAGTTTGCCAAAATAATTGAAAGGCTTCAAGTCCCTAGAACTTTGGAAATTATTTGAGTTTCAAAGTGAGAAATAGGTCTGAAAGTGTAAATTTAATATGCTGGTTGTGTACTCTGATTAATGATACCCACAGAGAATTTATATGATTTTGAAATAGTAGGCTTAGTTATATTTTAGAACATCAGATACTTTTCTGATAAAGTCACAGTAACTACTAAGGTTGGGCATCCTTTCTTTCTGTGTACACTCCAAAGCATTGATAGAAGCAGACATTGAGTCATAACTGACAACCAGACACTAATTTCTCTCAGTTCTTGACTTAAACAAATAGAAGGGACAAGATTTAAATTTGCTCTCAGAATCACTCTTCCCTTTCTTCACCTTATTTTCTTTTCTCCATCATTAGATTCTGTTGCAAACTGTTATTTATTATTTGACTATTGAAATCTTTATCAAAGGATTCCCAAGATTGCTAAATTTTTCCCCGGGTAGTCTTCTCATTAAAATAGTT